TTATAGAAGGGGCCACAAGTATATTTATCTCAAAAAGCAGCACTCAAAAACTTCAATGATATTCTCCAATTCCAAACCCAAAAGGTCAGGTGATTTTTAGTATCCTTCATGATAAATAAGAATTTGAAATGAAAAGAATTTAGTACTCCTTCCTTAGGTGTTAATCATCTCAAATCTGGGGGCATCCATTACTACAATTAACCCAGGAAACTTGTCAAAGATTCCCAAGAATGCTAAAATTCAGACCCATGTACTCGGGGTCTCAAGTTTACAGTAAATCCAACTTAGGAATCAAAGGCCCGTAAGTTTGGCGTAAGACTGCTTTACCTAAAAGTAACTGCTCTTCTACGAAGCAAACAATGTTCAAGATGCCCCAGAAGCACCAGGGTATAGATTATAATCTCAAATATTTAAAACAACAAAGTGTTAGGTAAACCCATTTCTTAAAAATTAGACAGAAGACAACCTACAGCACAATTCATTCACAAAATCCTCAAACAGGAAGAATCACACTCGAGTTTATACACTAATGGTTATAGAACTAGATCAACAGTCCTGTTATTAGAAAAGAATTGCTGTACTTTGGCTCATAAATGAACGGGATTATTCTGCTTCTTACCTAACCCAATGCAGGCAAGTCAATGTACCTACCTTGTAAAATTGCAAGCTACAATATTACAGTTCCCCAATAATCATGTGAAAGTAAAAACTGTCTCCAGGTAGCTTGCTATACATGGCATGCATATTTTGCCAGACACTAATTTTAAAGTACCTACACACCGAAAGGATCATAGCCCTCCCTATAGAGGACATAATGAGTTCACACCAAAATGGGAAATCTCAGTGCAATTGCTTTTAAGTAAAAACTAGGGATGATAAAGTTGGAAAAATTATAATGAGATGAACTCAGGAAGGCATTTTACTATGGAAGTGAATAATTACTCTAAAGGTCCATAGTAAACTGTGGAAACACTTTACTCCACTAGAGGTATAACAAGCATGTCCTCCTCAAAATAGCTGTTTATTCTCGTACCAAAAAAAACCACAAAAAACACTTAAGTCTGCAACAAATTGATTTTTTAAATAGTTTTAGGATGAAATTGTAGTTCACTTCAGTCTCAAGTTAGAACTGTAAAAAGATTCGCACACAGAAATGTGTTTAAGAAATTAAATTTAGATCTTATATCCAGTAACCAGTCTTACCCTCACCACTATTATGAAACTTCTGCCCAATTTCCCTCAAACTGGGAGACAGAGAACAGATAGGGTGGCAAGTGCAGACACCAAAAAGATTAAGTCTTGAGGGCTTTTTGTTCAGAAAGAAAAACAAGAATATGTGTAAAGGATGAGGCTGACAGGAGAGTAATTTTTTTAAAATATTTATTTATTTATTTGGCTGCGCCGGGTCTTAGCTGCGGCACGTGGGAACTTTTGTTGTGGCACGCGGGGGTACGTTATTTTAAAAGTCAAATATTAAACTTTAAGAATGAAAATATTTGTTAAATGTAAACTCAAAGTAAACCTCATGATCTAAAATGTTCATTAACCATAAATATTTAATTGTCCATTTTTCCTAAGAGGTCAAAAAACTTGCAAAGTTATAGTATTAACTAAGAGACCACATATAATTTCTGCAAGCGTCAAAGCAACGACCTTTAAACGTAAGTTTATGATCCTTTCAAATTACTGAAAATAATTGCTTACATATTTGAAATATGTAATGGAGTAATAAAGTCAAGTACAGTTATAATTTCTTAGTTTACCACTATTACCTAGCAGTGAAATTGAACTATCACAGGACCAAATAGAATAATTTCCATCATAAAACTTTTATTCTGGGGACTTCCTTGGCAGTCCAGTGGTTAAGACTCCACGCTCCCAATACAGGAGGCACAGGTTCAACCCTGGTCTCGGGGAAGATCCCCAGTGGCGCGGCCAAAAAAAAAAAAAAAACCAAACAACTTTTATTCTGTATGTCACACTTTATCTCCAATATAAAACTGGACAGATTTCAGTTAAAGAAAATAATAAGCTCCTGTAAAATGTAAATACTGTCCCAACTGGGCTCTTAGAATGTTGTCTGTACAGATGTTAAGTCAACTATGTGCAAGTTACTGGCCCTCTAAACTCCAGTGGTGGCAGATACAAACTCCTGGAAAACTCAAACATAATCCTGAAGGCAGAAATACTGACATTTAGGGGAAGAGGAGGGATAAAAAGAACAATACTCAATCTACCAGCCTTTCAAAAAGTCATGCAATTCTGAATACACGTCAACCAACCAACTGTAATTAACATTCCAACCAAATCACACTGAAAATCTAAAAATCTGATTTAAGCTGTAGTGGAAAGCGACATCAGCATGCCTTTAATAGTACATGTGCAATTCTTATTAAAGTTCTATTTACAAATACGGTTGGTGATTTTTTTAAAATGTCATTTTTGCATATACATCACTACTTTAAAAATTGTTTTACTACTGACATTTCCAGAATATTTCAGTATAACATGCAATACATTTTAAACACACAACACTTTATTGTAGCAGATAACCTTCACGTATAACATTAAACTTAGAATTACACGAAAATTTTTTTTGTCTTAAAACAAATCAAATTTAAAATTAAATACTCTTTCTTGCCCAAATATAAAAATATCATTACTAATTATATTAAGCTTTAATTGGCCAAACCACAATTACATGCATTACCACAGACCAAAAACCATGTAATGGCATCAATTTTGCCCAAAGATCACACATGATGCCTAAAAAGGTTTTATATCCCAGGTACAAAATATCCTACTGTACTAAAGTCTAGAATTTCCTGGGGATCAATGGGCAACTAACCAATACACAGCCTCCACATGTTATGACTACTGAAACCTTTATATTACAGAAATAAAATTTAAAAGTTTTACCATTCTTCCCGCTGTGCCGTCGCTGCTTCAGAGTGTCGTGGGGAGGAGTTTGAATGGCTAGGGAATTAACAACCGGTACAGCAACCAATCAAAATTCTAGTTTTAGTTTTTGACATTGTTAGGGTTAAAAACTTTAATTCATTTACACTTCGGTTCAACAGTAGATAACTACAAAGGCAGCTGCTTTGTGACTTGAAAAATCAGAACAGAAAGCCCGCCCCAAACAGTAAGTTACACAATCATTTGGGTGCCTCTGTCCAAAGAACAGAATTCAGAAGAAAACCAAAATGTTAAAAGGCTTAAGTTTCCAAATATTTAACATATCCCTTTCTTAAACTAAGCTATATATAATTCCAGATAAATTAAGAAAAGCTCGTTTCCCATCCCACCTCCACTCTCCCAAAGCCAGCACAATCAGCAAAACAGCCCGACAAGAGTCTGCCTAGGCTGAGAATATTAAATCCTATATTCCGAAGGGCTTATCTCTCCCCCCTCCAAAGCTTGTGCTTTTTCCTATTAAAGAGAATGTTTTCCAATATTGAGTTAAAGCGACACTTTATTGCTTTTACCTTCCAGCCAACACCTTTCTCCTTGTTACAGTGAAAAAAAATTACACACACACACACCCCAATTACAAAAAGTAAAGGAAGCGTTAACCCAACATCAGCGATCAGTAACGGGAATAAGAAGAAAACCCAACCAAGAACCCCTGATTTAGTCCCTCCTGCTAACTCCTATATTCTGTTCCCGGCTCCCAAATGCTGCGTTCTAAAAAATTTTATGCAGCTTTAAATAACATATACAATGTATTCCAATCGGAGGAAACAAGTTACTACTTAAAAACCTGCAAAAAGAATAAAAGCCATAGCACATTACAGAATTTGTTCATTTTATGAGAGAAGGCTGGTGGGCCTCCTGTAACTTAACTGGGTGAGAGCGGGAAGGAGAAATCAAGAGAGACCAAAAAAAGGATTCTGGGCACGGCGTGGGTTGTAAAAAATGAAAATTGCACAGAAAAAGTAAGGTAAGAGTACACTATCTGTACGAACAGTTGAGGAACCCAATAGCCGAGGGCGCGAAAAAGGTGCGCGGTTAGAATAACTCTGCGGGGTGGGGGAAGGGCGGTCAGCAAGTCGGAGGTAGAACAGCTCCAGTCAAGTGCAGGCTCCGCCGACAAGGAACTTGAGGAAAGCCCTTGGAGCAAAACCAACGTACCAACAGGCGATTCGGGGAATTTCACCAGGCCCAGTTGGTTCCGTAGGCTGGAAAGTGGGGAATATGCAAGCAAGCCGTTGTGCGATGGTGTACAGTAGAAAAACTAAAAGGCTGAGGCGAAACTTACTCAAAATACTGAAAAACATTCGGCCTGAAGCCAAGACGGGAGGAGCAGAGCTGGACAACCTACACGTTCCCCGAAGCATGTGCTTACAAAGAATGGCATCGTCTAGGGATGCTGCAGTGAGAAGCACCAAATAAACCTTAGTTATCCAGGCATAAAGGATTTTTGTGTCTGACTGCGTTTTTATGCCCAGGACTTTAGAAAACGGGGGAGAGAGAAGACAGCGGGAAAAGAAAAAAGGTACCCCTCGACAGGCGGGAAAAAATCCTGGCGGCTAAGTCGGTGGGAGGAGACCCAAGGCGAGGGAGGGAAGAAGGGCGGGCCGGGGAGCAGCATGGTGACGGCTAAAGGTGGAAACGTGTGTGATGGGGGAGGGGGCGATTAGCAGGCAGGGGAAGAAGGAAATGAAACCCCGGGGGAGCCCGGCGTAGAGAAGGGGATAACAGTGCAAAGAGGCTGCACGGGAGCCTGGAGCACGGGGGGGAGAGTGGGAACGAGGCCTAATGGCGGGGGAGAAGGAGGGGGGGGGGGGGGGGAGGGGGCGGGGGCGGCTGGCTCGTTTCCACTCGTGAGAGCCGGTTGCTGAGAGACGCGCGGGCCAATGAGCTCGCACCAGCTCAGCCCGGCGCCCTCCGCGTGTCCTTATATGGTGCGGCCGCTCGGCTGGCGCTCGCGCACATCGCCATATAAGGGCAGGGGGGGGATAGTTGGGCCTGACTATCCCGGGCCGCCCCTTACTCACCCTTCATCCTCCTCGTTCTTACTGGCATCGATCTTCGCCCCCTCCGACTCGGCGCTGCCTCCTTCGGTGCCTCCGGCCGCGGTTCCGCCCCCGGTCCCGGCTCCGCTTCCCGCCGCCGCCGCTGCCCCCTGCGCCGCCGCCACCATGGCTCCCTCCTGTTCGCCCGCCGAGCCGCCTACCGCCGCTGTTGCTGCCGCCGCCGCCCCGTCCCCGCCAAACTGCTCCTCCGACATAGTGCTACTGCCTCCGCCGCCGCCGAGACTACACCCGCCGCTGCCGCGAACCGAAACTAGCAGCAAAGTAATCCCCGCCGCTGCCGCGCGCCCGCTCTACCGCGCGAAGCACACAACAAGACAGAGAAGGCGCGCGTGGCTGCAAAGGCTCCTGCGCCTTTCCCCGGCCTGCCCCCCTTGCCTCCCACTCTCGCGCGGCGCGCACTCCCACTCTCGTCCGCCGCACTAAAAAAGAATAAGAAGCAACGGCGGCCGCTCTCGCCTCCTCCTCGCTTTAATGGCGCCGCCGCGGACCACCTAAAATGGCCGACGGAAGAACGGCGCGTCCCGGTCACGTGGCACGCGAGCGCGCCCTTTGCACCTCCCCCGCCCCCTCTACCGCTAGTTTTTTTCCCCTTCCTCCTCGGTCCCGCCCTCTCGCTCCCTTTTATACCTTCCTCGCACGCGCTGCGCCGCACAGCGTGGGGCCTTTAAAGGGAACCGGAAATGGCGTTCTATAAGACGGCCGCGCGGAGACCACCGAGAACAAGGAGCGCTGTTTCGAAGGCGCGGCTAGAAGGGTCCCTTCGTCCGCCGCAGCTTTTCCGAGGGTTCCTGGTCGGCTCACCCCAATCCCCACCCCCACCCCCAGCAGCGGGCGGAAGCAGCGGCGTTGGGCAGGGGTGTGGTAGCACCTCCCGGAAGGCGGCCGTGCCTTGTGCGCCTGCGGATTTGGAGTGGGGGAGGGGAGGCGCACAGCCGGCTGCTCCCCGCATGTTAGCGGTGCCATCCCGAGAAGGGAGGCTACTTTGAGGTGTCGGCCTTGTCCCACAGACTCCGGGGGAAGCCTGGCTCGCGGTAGCCTGAGCGAGGCGCCGCGGCTGGCCGTGCGCGTGCACGGACTGCGGCAGCTCCCCCGGCCGCCGTAGTCGCCCGCGACCGGGTGACATTGAGGTTTCCCCGGCTGCAGCTGCCGCGTTTCCCAGCCCCTGGCGGGCAGGCTGAGGCCGTTGATGATTAGGGCTGCTTTTCTTTTAAGAGTTGCTTTCCAAGTAAGACTTCTGCTTGCCTGCTTTTCTCCTGAAATTTTTCGTCAGAAGAAGCAGGTAACTTGCGTATTTTAAGGAACAGGGATTGTTTTGCATTGCTTGCTGTATTTGAGGATCCTGAAACCTACCACGATTCTTTGAAAATACTAGGAGTTAGGAAGGGTGTTAGATCAACCAAGAGTTCACTTAAGTCCATGTTTTTTAGCTCTTGTACTAAGTAGAATATCTAAATACTGCGAATCTTCTTTACAAGTTTTCTCAGTTTGTTGTGTTGTGGATTAGGGGAGTTTTCTGTTGTTAAACACCGCTAGGGGTTTTGGGCAGGGTAACAGTCGAGTTCTTTAATAGACCTACTAGAAATTCCAGGCGCCTTGGCTGGAAACTGGTTTATACGGGCTTTGGGATTTGCTGCTTCCTGCAGTTACATCTTGAAGAAAGTCAAGTTTTTAGGTACTTCTTTAGTCAACAAATGATTATTTGCCTGTTTAGCGTGTGCCCAGGCACTGGGGAAACGAAGACTAGTGTGAAATATCGAAAAGAACTGCAGAGTTTAAATATTCGTTTTCCACTATGTAATTAAATGAATTTGTATTAACACTATCCAAAAATCTCAAAGGAAGACTGAAAACACTTAATTTTTTTATAATTAGTCAAGTTAGCAGAATTTACATGACAGGATAATTAAAACCCAAGAATACAAACCAAATTCTGAAAACGTCTTAAAAATATAATCTTACTGAACTCCTGTATTACGTAAGTCACACACAGGCTGTGCCAAGAATGTGTATCGCAGATCAAGTGGTAGTGACTTCAGGTATGTCTCCACCTGTCAAAATAGTAGCCAAGGGACTTCCCTGGTGGTCCATTGGTTAAGACTCCACCCTTCCACTGCAGGGGGCTCAGGGTTGGATCACTGTTGGGGGAACTAAGGTCCCTCATGCAGCGTGGAACGGCCCCCCTAAAAAAAGGAGTAGTAGCCAAGAAGAAAGTGGGTATTGTGCTCAAACCAAATATTCCAACTTAGAGACAACTAAGAAGAAGCTCACCTGAAGGGGGTGCCTGTTGAATGTCTTCTGTCTTCAGAAGATAATTCTTTTGGGACTTCCCTGGTGGCGCAGTGGTTAACAATCCACCTGCCAATGCGGGGGGCACGGGTTTGAGCCCTGGTCTGGGAGGATCCCACATGCCACGGAGCAACTAAGCCCGTGTGCCACAACTACTGAGCCTGTGCTTTAGAGCCCAAGAGCCACAACTACTGACCCCGTGTGCCACAACTACTGAAGCCCATGCGCCTAGAGCTGCAACTAAAGTCTGCATGCAGCAATGAAGACCCAACGCAGCCAAAAATAAATAAATTAAAAAAAAAAAAGATTCTTTTGCTTTTTAAAAAAAATTTTAATTTTATTTTATTTTTTTATACAGCAGGTTCTTATTAGTTATCCATTTTATACATATTGGTGTACACATCAATCCCAATCTTCCAACTCATCCCACCACCACCCCCGCCACTTTTGGTTTTAAGACAGCTTTAGACATGCCCGTCTCTTAGTAATAGACTTTCCCAAGAGGTTTATTTTAATTCACACATAGCCCAGTAACTTCTGAACTTTCTTGGAGTTTATATTAAAAATTCCAGGAAACGTAGGAATGATTTTAAAGCTAACATCTTTATTATGTGTTATGTGAGTATGTATGATGCCTTATCACTCATATCCCTGCATATTATAGTCCAAATCTCTGCATCCTATGCTCCAGCATTCTTCTGAGAACCCATTTAACTTCAACCCTAGTTCTTTTCACGTTCTTCATCTGCCTGGTAAACTATTCATCCTTCAAAACCCCAATTAAATGTTCCTACCTCTGTGAAGCCTTCCCAGACTCCCTGAGGCAGAATTAATCATACATTTTCACAGTCTTTATCTTTACTTCTGTTTTTCTAAATATGTAATTTTACTAGACCATGGGTTCCTGGAGAGTAAAGTTAATGTGTTCTATATATCCTTCCTCCCTCATGCACACATGTACACATACACACACATAATAGACTAATTGCTGGTTGAATTACTGAATGACAACTTGTTAGGTTTAGGATCTTTCAGGCAAACTAGGTATGCTTCCAGGGACTTAAAAGTCTCTTCCCACCATCCCACTTCATCTCTGGCATAAAAACACTTCCTCAAACCACTTGCTGGTGTGTGAAGTTCCTTAAGAAGGAGAACCAAACTTGTATTCCGTAGTCATAGGTAAGAATTTACTGTTTAAGGGGCTGAAGATTGTATATTGGCACTATGTTAGACTGGCCCAAATCACTGCAGGGAGGTCGTGTCCTCTCTCAGTGTCCATGACATCAGAAATTCCATGCTTCAGGAGGTTCCCGGTGATTCAGATAACACTGAAATGTTAGATCCTCATTTAATTTAGCATTTATGAAGCAAAAACTGCAGAAAAAACTAGAGTACTTATAAAAGGCAGAATTCATTTGAGATTTTAAACTGGAATCACTTTTACCCTGGACAAGATGTACACACCTAAGTCAAGAAGTCACAGTTTATCTGCTAAATGCACTGTACAAGGAGTTCCCTGGTAGCCTAGTGATTAGGATTCCGGACTTTCACTGCCGTGGCCTGGGTTCAGCCCCTAGTCAGAGAACTGAGATCCCGCAAGCTGTGTGGCACGGCCAAAAAATAAATAAATACACTCTACAAATGGAGCAAGCAAATCTATGCTCAAAAATTTTTAAGTGGAATATGCATTCCATTCAGCAACCTAGAATAAACATTGTCCAGAAGAAACAGCAGAGAGAATTCATTTCCTATGCAAGGTACACATACTTGAGACTTCTACAACAATGTTAAACAGCCATTTACTCACTTGCAAAACACCTTCAGTAGGATTTCAGCTTTTTGTTGAAGAATTAGCTTGTGATTTTAAGTGAAGTGACCAATTGCGCAAAAAGTGAACATTCTCTATCATCATTCTTGGTTGTCAGGAAGCTCCTTTTTCACTTAGAGAAAGGCCCTATCACTGTGAAGTGTCAGATTTTACTTTAGCAAGTCTATCATAGAGTCAGTTATGCTTGACCACAGAGATGTCAATAGGGTGCCTTTAGAGTCAATTAAAGAAAACCTAGCTCAAAAAAGATTCAAACAATAAAAACATTTATCTCACTCCAGACCTACATATCCAACTGCCTGCTTAACTTCTCCACTTGGTTGTCCTACAGGCATCTCAAGCTTTAGATGTCCAAAACTGAACTGACCTTCCCTACAAATCAGCTTCTTTGGTCTTCCTCTTCGCCATAAATGACACCTCCACCCACCCGTGTGCTCCTGGCAAAAATCAGGGAATCCTTGATAGCACCCCGCACCTTCACCCCCCCATATCCAATCAGTCACTAAATCCTACCTCCAAAATATGTCTTCATTCATCCAGATGCTTCTTAGGACATAAATAGTGGGTTGTTTCTAGTTAGATTTATTCTCATTCAACCATGCAACACATGACACAGGTACATTTGTGGCGCTGGGAATGTAACAGTGACCAAAGCAGACAGGTCTGATCTCATGGAGCTGACATTCTAGTGGAAGAGACAAACAATAGACGAAATAATGTAATAATGTAATATAAAGTAGTGATAGGAAGAAAAATTGGTAAGGTGCTAGAGATAGATAATGTGCTATTTTAAATACAGCGGTCAGAGAAGACCCTTGAAGGAGGTGGCTTTCTGAGTAGAGCCCTGAAGGAGATGAGGGAGAAAGCCATACACATAGCTCAGGGAAGACTTTGCAAGGCAAAGACAGGACTGTTCTTGGCACTTTCAGTGAATGATAGAGGCCAATGTGACTGAATAGAGTGAAGGCAAGAAAGCATAATAGATCATACCTGAGAGGTATCCAGAAACCACGTCCCCCAGGGCCTTGTAAGCTGCAGTTAGCACTTTGCTTTTATTATAGATGTGAGGAGAGGGGCTTCCCTGGTGGCGCAGTGGTTAAGAATCCGCCTGCCAATGCAGGGGACATGAGTTCAAGCCCTGGTCAAGCCTGGGAAGATCCTACATGCCGCAGAGCAGCTAAGCCTGTGCACCACAATTACTGAGCCTGCGCTCTAGAGCCTACAAGCCACAGCTGCTGAGCCCACGTGCCACAACTACTAAAGCCTGCATCTAGAGCCTGTGCTCCACGACAAGAGAAGCCATGACAATGAGAAGCCGCGCACTGCAACTAGAGAAAGGCCACATGCAGCAACGAAGACCCAACGCAGCCAAAAATAAATAAATAAAACAAATAAA